TTCAACAATGACAATTATCTGTTTTTTGCCGAATTCCCGAGCAACTGGTCCGGAACAATCGGATACCGTGAATTCCAGGCAGTGTCGTTATCCCCACACACCGAGAGATATTTAAATACCCGCTACGCTGACAACTGCGAAGAGGCAAGCTACCGATTAACTGAGTTAGTTATCTTGCGGTTTTTTTTCATTCGCACTGAAATGAGAAATATTGAGAAGTTCTCAACTACTTCGATACATTAGGATGTCTCTGATCCGTGTAGAAAGTTCCCATAATTTCCACTCACATTCTCCCTCCATTTAACCACCCCCCTCCCCCCCAATGAGAGATATTGAGAAGTTCTCAACTACTTCGATACATTAGGATGTCTCTGATCCGTGTAGAAAGTTCCCATAATTTCCACTCACATTCTCCCTCCATTTAACCACCCCCCTCCCCCCCACGATCATTTGTCTGGCGTTCCTGCAGTCACGCTTGTCAGGAATTTGTTATCCGGTTTCTTATTTATATCATCGTTGCTTGTCTATTCCGCTCCGATGGTCCAAACTGAAATATGACGTTGATAGCTCGGTTGGTAGCTTGATCAATTGCGAGTTTCGGCGACTCGGTGGAAACAATCTGGCGCAGATCTCCATAGCAAATTAGGCACAGGAATTTCGTGGTTATCCTTTTTGGTTACCAGATGCCACAAATCTTTGTCGGGTGATAAACGCTGAAGTCAGAAGTGAGAGTAACCTGCCCGAACGGCGCAGATTGAGCAACTGTGAAGCTCTCATCCAGGGTTTGTTGATAAAATCTCGGAAATGACCACAAATATTTGACATGCCGTTTGAATGTCCGGACATAGAGCTTAGGAACCTATTATGATAGAATCATGAAAACTGAATTGATGGATGACAAAATACCCCTAGTTGGTCACCATTCAAAACACGAATGGCTTTGTAAAACAGTTTAAAACTTGGGTAATGTCTCCGTCGTGGAGGTTATTGTGTAACAAAACCGACCTTCTTGAATCGTCCACGAACGAAACTGCGCGCACACGACCTGTTGTACACTCACTGAATTGGAAAAAATACTTGGGGCATTCAGAGAACAGATGATCACCTTGCTCCGTTCGACGTCGCGTGACTAAGCAGAACAACAAATGAGGATACACGGAGTATTCAAGAACCTTTAAAGATCCTATATGAGGATGACATGTGTGAAAAGACGACCTTGAATGCAAATGAAGCGTCAACCATGCACAATGTACTTTGAATAGACCGTACAATGCAGCAGCACTCGGTGTACATGAGCGAACAGTTTGACGTTAAATGAAAAAAACTATCGCGTCCAAGAGAACTGGTATGGATATTTTGGAGGTAGGGAGAGACTAGTGTTCAACTTCCACAAAACTACGGAGGAATAAGTGGTGAAAAGTAAGCGTAGGGGCTGGAACGTATTGCAGAAAGCCCTGCGCCTCAAGAGGAACCGGCAAAAGGCTAGATGTCTACACGGGGGCGAGATGGACCAAGTGGTTACAGAGCGAATTTACTGACCAGAAGGTCCATGGTTCGAACCCGACCCCTGCCTCTTGACTTCTCCTGTCTAGGCTTGGGTGACCTGGCAGTATCTCAGCCCTCGTGCCTCCTTCGTGTGGTATGGCAACTAGGCACCGAAACGGTGTTACAGCTGAACGATTATTATTTCATTATTCAGGTGTCCATACCTTCCTAAACAGCTGAACTAAACACAGTTGAGCGTTCTGTTGGGACGAGACGCCGTCAGTGGGTCTAACTCAATGTCTTTTTCGAAAAGCAGCCCATCCCTGTTCTCCTGCGGCAGCAACACAACCATTGGCGCATAGGCCGATCCCCGTGCCAGATACAACAACTCCTTCACACGCAAATGGACACCAAGCGCGGGATGCATTCCTCCGATGAACTGGTTGTACAGCAACTGGTGGCACGACACTCCGTCCAGTCCCAGCAAAGCGCGATCCAACGACTGCTGCAGGCCGGCAAAGAACACGGTCGGATCGGATCCAGGTGCCATCCTCGCCGTCTTGAACCGCCTCATAGCCCCCTGGCGGTCGGCCGGCGTGTCGGACTCCGCTGCGAGGGTTTCCTTCGCGGCAGCCCAGTCCATCTTCTGGCCGCCTTCGCCCGGCCCCTGAGGAGGGTCTTTAGCGCCGCCAACTTACTCCGGTCGGTATCCAGTCCACCAGCCTCCGCAACCTCCTCAAAGTCATCCAGGAAGGTCCAAACATCCCCATCCTCAAAGACTTGTGGCCACGAAATCTTCATCGTTATCCTGGTCATGAAGAGAAGGCCTTCGCTGCGGAGTTATTTATTAGTAAATGCCAACTGAACAGTTACAGACTATTGGACAGAGAAGCAAAACTCTCATATGCATCTTGTTTACAAAAACTGAATATCCATATTCTCTTTGAACGCGTCTTTCTGAACTTTCCTGGATACTCATCGACTGTTGCTCAATTGCAAGCAAATGCTGCAGAGCGACTCCACAAATTCCGTAGAAGATCTCAATTTTCAAGAGACGCATAGCAGAGTTACGAGTAAACATACTGCTTGCATGCCCCCTATCAGTAGTATCACGGTTACACCCGTATCTTGGTGATCCTTGATTTGCTGAATTCATCCATCATAATGAGTCCACTGCCCGTACAGTTGTCAAAACCTGTCCACAAACTCGGGTTCCTCATTTTGAATTTTCAGGGGGACACATTGAAGTTTGAATTCCCCACCTAAGTAATGCACACACAAAAAGGGGATCAAGGGCGGAAGCATGATCACGAACAATATCATCCTCACAGACTGAGTCTGCCAGTCTCTCTCCAAAGATGATTTAGGCAACCACCTTCTCGGTCCCTCTTAGAGTGTACCCCATGATGATCTTAGCGACAAAACTCGACACAAGTGGAAAGAGGGGACATCCCTGTCGAAACTAGAATGGCTGTGGGGAAGCATTAGAGCAGATCATCAGTGGTGTGAGAATGAATGGAGATTGTTTACACGTTTTGAGTATATTCCTCGTGGGTCAAGTGTGTGTGTGTGTGCGCAGGTCCCTGATAAGGGTGACGCGAGGCGAGATTNTTTGAGTATATCCTCGTGGGGCAAGAAGGGGTGTGTGTACGCAGGTCCCTGATAAGGGTGACGCGAGGCGAGATTTCGTTCGAAACAAAGGTTCCCAAAGAAACTTTCAAGATATGAATTCGTTCTCAGACCATTTATGTTGGATAAATCCAACCGTTGTGCGAGCGTCCTCAGTCAACTCATATACCTAAGCATCCATGCCGCTTGTCCGAATAAAAGGAGAACCGTCGGTTGCCAAATGGTAAAAATCAAATAGATTCCTCTTTCTGAGATTTTATCGCAAGATACGCCCTGCCGACATACTTATAAGTAGTATTTCGCCGAATCTTACACAAAAATGGGAATAGTCCAGTAGAGTAAATGTTGGAGTGCATTTCATGGTTTTGGTCCGTCCAAGCCAAATATTTTGGCAAGTAAACAACTAATTTGCTGTGCAACTTCGTCGGTAATGTCCGATTGGGATTCGCTCCATCAGACGAAGAACATAGGTCAACTCTAACACTGACCCAACGAAATGTCAAAGGACACTGTTCGCCTCAATTTTCAACAATATAATTCACGAAAGCGGGTACCCAGGATCCGAGATCTTTCAAACAGATCTCAATTACTGACAGGTCAGGTATCATATCAGACCGAAACTTGCTGCAAATCTGACCTTGCTAATGCCTTCAACTGATAGCTAATCAATGTGGATCCCAACAGGTCATAAGGCTGCCACGACCGAACGTTGCCCACACGTGAATCTGCATTGTATGTGTTATTCCCTATTTATACTGTGCCGTTGTTGTGCCTTTAGCCAGTAGTGTTCTACATCAGAAACTTCACTTCCGACCTTTTTGCGTGCAACGGTTGAAAAAACGGTCCGATTCGCACTAGCGATCAACTATTCCGGTATTTACTTTCCTGTTGCCCTATCGCACAGTTTGGAACTCGCGACCTTCTGGCCAATGGTTGAACACCTAACCGTTCGACTACGGTTGGTTTATGAGCAGTGTGAGTAGTCCTCAGTTAGACGAAAGATAGCGCTACTAATCCTTCAATAACGGAAACCACATCATGTGATCACGTATTGATTGGTTTCTCGAGTGACGACTTGTCACTAGTGAAATTATCTTACCTCGGCGATGCTCAGTGATGAAGCCGAAATGATAGTTCTGAAGTGATCAGGAGGCATTTTCAATAGAACGAATGATTGCTACTCAAAATCTGGAGCACCGAAAGATACAGGAAAAAGGAATCTTAATCACGTTGTCATATACAACAGTGATTTTAAAAACCTCATCAGAGGATGAGAAAAAACGAAAAATAATTGATAATAAATAACTAAAAAAATAATAAAAACTATCCCTCAGGCATTTTTCCATCAGATTTTGATTTTTAAATAGACTTTTTTGGGAAAAGCAAGCAGGTTGATTCATAGTGTTTAACTGGAGCATGATTACCTGCCTGTGACGTTTTATATTACCGATCAAACTTTGGTTAGATCTGTAAACGAGCTATCGTTGTTACTGTGGCACAACGGACAACGTGCATTTCAAATGGTTGCAATACCATAAGAAGATCACCGGAAGTAACCAATTCCACCAAATCTTCTGGAATCGAAGGACGAACGTGGTCTTTGCACATAGTGGAAACTACTCACAAGGTTGCTGAAAACTCTTCGACAGCCCACGACCGTTTCGTACTTCTTGGGGCTCATCACGTAGGCACCGTCCCCCGGTTTTCGTCTACCTTATGTTCTACTTGAACCCAAATTAGACTGTTTTCGAGAGGTACGCTCATTTTCAAATGAATTTGGTTTTCATGAGAGACTCAACTGAATCCCTCGTTTATGATATTCTACAACTGAATGTGCTGCACACGGGCAGTCGAAGATTTTTCAGCAATATTGTGAGTAGTTTTCTTTATGAAAATATACGGAGATATCTCGACCGTCGTGCTAACTGAAACATGAGGCGGCCTGTGTGCAGCACATTTAGTTGTAGAATATCATAAACGAGAGATTCAGTTGACTCCTTGGTGAAAACCAAATTGCTATGCAGATGAGTGTATTTCTCGAAGAACGTAGTCCGTCAACGCCCCCGCAAATGAATCATCTGTATGCTCTCATTATGCATGCAAATAGGGAGACTTTCCCATTCCCCACAGCCATGATCCAAGTGTCACATCAGGTCTCTTTACACCAGAACATCCAGTGATATATCAGTTTAGCAAAGTCGTGTTTACTTATTGTTCTGCCAGGATTTCCGAACATTTTGAGTCATAACGCAGGCAGATTACTCATATACATGAACGCTATTCATCCAGATCAACTTATCCTATCATTCTGCCTTATGAGTGTGCTACGTCCTGTTCACACTTTCGAACAACACGAGAGATTTTTATACTTTCGATGTTTTCTAATCTCAGCTAAACCGGTAGTCGATTCCCCGGCTGAGTAATTCACAAGTGAAGTTTGACCTTGAACCTGTCTCAGTCACATACACCGTATTCTCACTCAAAAAGAATGCTTCACGCATCAAGGATAGGATCTAGTTTCGTTACTGACCCCTTGGTTGTTGTTACCTTCCGTAAGGAGTTGGTTTCAAACGTATTACGAAGGTAGTGTGAGGATATCTGGTTATTTCCAACAGAGATTTGAAGCCAATCTCTGCAGAAAAGCCAACAAGTACTGTACAGCTGTTCACTCCTCGTTGAGAACCACCAACAGTCCGTATCCCACGGAACTCAGCGAGTTTCGAGCCCGCCAAGTCCGGTCAGTGGCTGAACACGCGCAGTAGATCAGCAGTGTGATTAGCTCTCCTTTAGACACGACCTATTCCCACTCATTCTTCAATAACAGGAACCACATCACGTATGGACTGACTTATCGAATGCTGACTTCTCAGTAGAACTACTGATGATCCCCAACGAGGAGGAAACAGTTGTACGGTATACCTAGGATTTTCGCGTAGACTGACTTCACTAACAGGACGAAATCTTCATCTAAAGTGCTTGTTTGAAAGTCACCCTTTCGGTACCAAACTACTATACAACCCGAAGGAAGCACGAGGGCTAGGATACTTCCACGATGCCCAAGCCTAGACAAGGGTAGTCGAGTGGCAGAGGTCGTGTTCGAACCGCGGACCTTGCGGTGAGTAAATGTGCGCTATAACCACTGAGCTATTCCGCCCCTGACTTTACCGTCTACTGTGTACTTAAAAGCCCACTTCCTGTAGACACCCTTCGATTTCTGTTTATTGTACACGAAGCTGTTGGAAATAATACTATCAGACACGGTTTGCTTTTCACGCCAGCCAGCCAGACACCTAGATTGCCAATCTGGGATTGCGTGCGGAGAGGATTAATCTCGTCTGGATAGAGGAATGCAACTTTCAATTGGCTACTTTAAATCCGTATGTACAGTGCTCGTATCCGGTTTCCCAGTCACACGTACCATTTTGTTTCGATACAACTGGGAAACTTGGAGTTTCGGTTCGGTCAGGGGATGCTGGAGAAATGCATTCACAGATGAAACGCTTCTGACATGATTCTGTTGTTTACGAATTTAATAACACACATTACACGGAATTTTATCGAATTAATTGTGAACTAAAGAATTGATTTGTTTTACTGATCAGTATGTATGAAATGCGTACGCTTTATTCGTTTTATGTCAACGGGCGAAATAAAAATTCAAGAAAAAATCTATTGCATAAACTCCTTTGGAATTGTTTCAAATAAAAAACTACCAGCATTCGTAATTTCGTCACAAAACTCTGTGTTTTTCCTCCCTTACGTTTTTTTTCGGATTCAGTTCAAAGAATATCGGCGCACGGGGCTTCGAGTTTCTCAGCAGAGTGGAAGGAAGTCAAAGTGGGGTTGGATATCCTACGAGAAAAGCGGGAGCTTCAAATTTCCTCTTATGAAGTGCAATATGTTTGTCGAGCTTCCCATTGGACGAACGAAATTCGAGAAGCGACTTCAGCTTTTGGCTAACATTCGGATTTTACTAGACTATAACCATACGTGGCATTGATGTACCCCTTAAGGGCGTGCGTCACCGTTTGTTGAAATACGTCCCAGCAACCTCAAGAATATTCCAAAAAACAACTGAAAGAATATTCTATCGTCCGATTGCATTCATACATCAGTCGTTAAATGAAAAAATGCGAAGAAATGAACAGGCACGAAGTACGACTACTGTGATAAACTGGTATGACATTGATACTACTGATTGGAAGGCATGTGAGTAGTGTGTTTTCTCGTAGATCCGTCTCGCGCCTCTCTGTTGCGGAATTTGTGGGGTCGCTTTGTAGCATTTGTCTGGATTTGAGTAACAGTCAGCGACTATCCAGAAACGTTCAGGAAGGCGCGTTCAAAGAGAGGATGGATATTCAGTTTTTGTAAACAAGATGCATATGAGAGTTTTGCTTCCCTGTCCAATAGTCTGTAACTGTTCAGTTGGCATTTTCTAATAAATAACTCCTCAGCAAAGGCCTTCTTCCTTTCACTGGCAGAGAACTATCAAGATGAATTATTCCATACTAGCTTGCAAACAAACGACAGTTCAACCGTCACTAGATGTACTTCATGGTTACCGCTCCGTCTGGAACGAATGAGAACAGAAGCAGACAAGAATATTTAATTATAGAAACCTGATACTCAATGGGAGAAACAATGGACAAACATTTTGATGTGCTACGTAGCTTCCATGTTACCTAAAGCACGGGGCTGAGGTTCTGTCAGACCCATGGGGGAACAATCAATATATCGCGGTCGGGTTCGAATCACAAACCTCCCGGTCAGTAAGTTTTCACATTTACCACCTTCGAGATTTATTGATATGATGATGACATGTCAAATCCAGCTGGATTCAAAAGAAACCAAAATGTCGCCTAATTCACAAACCTTTACTCGAGTTCAATCACGAAACCGATACTAACAAAATGTTCGCCAATAAAATTGGTCAAATCCAGCTGGATTCAAAAGAAACCACCTCACCGACCAATCAGAAATACGCAAACCGACATGCCGAGTGCAACAATCAGAATTCGTCAGATGAACTGTCGGAACAAAGGCTCCACCCATCGCATAGTAACCTGAATTATTCACTGATCGGTAATAAATGGAGGTTGACAAATCCGGACATACGTAGATATGAACTCTAGGAATGTACTCTCGAATACTGAATGACATTTCTTGTTTACTTTCGCTCATGAGTAAACCCAAAGCGACCGCGGTGTACACCTCTACCCTGACCAATGTGAAATGTATACTACCGATGAAGCACGGAAGTAGCGTCTGGCTGGCGATGAATATTACCACAGGAATAATGGGACCGCTTTCCAACGTTCGTATTTTTAATTCAAGAATGTTCGAGAAAACGCTTGAGAATGTTTGCTATTTAAATACTCTGGGCAGATGAGATATTTACTTTCGTGCCTAATGGCTTGTAACCGCTTTGTTCTCGCGGTTTTGCCGCGAAGGGTGTTTCTCGCTTCACCAGTACAACCCATCAGCAAATGCTCTGGGATGGCTCCGTAAAGTTCATCCAGGATTACCTTATCCTTTTCGTTCCCAAAAGTGCAAGGGATTCGCCCAGAGTCAGAATTTGCGCGTTTCTTTTATCAGCTTGGTACCAGGACAGTTGTGTGTGCACTCATTCTGAACACAGTTTTTTCCACACAAAAAAGTCTGGTGAGTGCGGCAAAAGCGCCTTGCAATCTACATCAAAGTTTTATTCTTATCGGTTGTGATAAACAGGTGCGAGTGCACCAGAAACTTGGCGATAACGTTCCGGAAAATACTGACTGAGACAGACGAGAAAGTATCATGAACAAAGTAGCAAATCTTCGATTGGATAACTCGTCTGGTAAGTAAATACAATGTCAGTCAATAAGCCGGAACCAGTCTTCGTAATGCCTTCTTATCACCGTGAATCCCGGTCTGGATAGCCGCCTGATCGACTGGTGCGCTTGTCCACTCCAGAAAAGTAAATGAACGTGCGAGTCAGCTGTTTTATTGATCACTGTCGCGTACGAGCGGGTCAAAAATTGATACTAAGAATACAACCCATCTGTCAAGGGCGAGTGAAGAACAACCAATGAAATCTGTCTCAACAAAAAACAGTTATTCCATTGGCAGTTATGTAGTCCTGTTACGTTCGAATCTGGTTCTCCTAATATTCATTAAAAATCAGGAGTAGACAGTATATCAAGAAATTCTGGGGAGTTTCCAAACCGCAGTCTGTGTAGTCAATAGTAGTAGTTGTAGTTAGTAGTTAGTTAGTAGTAGTAATCAGTAGTACCGCTAGGAGTTTTCGACATACGCAAGTCTGAGGACGGACCTGAAACCAAACACGAGTATCGACCACACGAATCGACGCGAACCGGTCTCGCTGCCACTTGAGATGATCTGCAGGATAACTTTGATACTAAGAAGTATCGCTTAACAAGTGCGGGCGCACAAACATCGCCCAATTATGCGCCATCATGTTTTGGTTGGATCCAACCAAATAGGTTTAATGCAATAACGGACTATTGCAGCGTTTACGGTGCTGTTGTGGGTGGACGAATGAGCCGAGTGAGGTGGTAGAAAAGTTTGTCTACCTGGGAAGCTGTATCAGTCCCGGTGATCTAGCCAACGATGATATCTGCTTCTACACACTACTATGCAGCGTATTTCAGTAGTATAAATGATTTCCAGCACGATGGCATGGACAGGTTCAAGCAAAACAATGCCAGATTTGGTTTTAAAGGTAGACCTAGATGACTTCAGCTGGATCTGTCTTTCATACTGGCCCTCCTTCGCTGACTATGCTGTTACGAAAGTCACGGCAAACGATAGATTCAGCTGGATTCTGTTGAGTCCCCCGTTGAAGCCAGGTTAGTGTTGGCATATGAGAGTTGAAAAATTCCGACCAGTTTGGGTTCAACTAGACCCGCACCTGCCTGGTGAACAGCCCAACATGGATAAACCGGCTTGTCGAAAGGTTTTCAGTAAACTTATGAGTATCGTGTCACGTTTAGATGGCATTAGAATTAGGGATTTCTAGGTGAGCATAGACACCCCACTGAGAAAACGACAAACCCAATTAGGGAGAGACAGACCAGCAAAACCCTTCCTGCTGCCAGCTGAAAACAGGCGGTCGCCATACCAACCATAGCGCTTAAAATCAAGCTCTGCATTTCCACCTGTTCGTTATCCACTGAGCATTTAAGGATACTAACTAAGCCAAGTTGTGTTGAGCTGCCCCAACAATCAAGAAATCATCATTTTCACGGAATGTTTATGAGCAGAATCGACAGAAGTTGAATCTCCATATTCAACAATACATCATGTTAATGCGTAGGTGGCAAATGCCTGTTCTCCCGCCGAATCCCTGACACCCAATTGGGTTAGGTCTGTCAATGACCTTGACGCCACATAACGAGTAGTAATTATTTCCCCACAAGATCTGCAGCACATGTGCATCTACTGAGTTCCAAGACGACCAGATTGGCCTCCAGTTTGTGTAGCCCAAAGCTGGGAAAACGCAAACCGGCGCTAAAACGCTAAGCATAAAAATTTCAAAAACCGGTTTCTAAATTTCTCTTTTTCCCTCAGGTGATTGACGAACCCACGTCAACAAATGCGCATGAAGTTCAAGGGGGACAAAGTACCCATTTTGCTCATTTATTGCTTTAAAAGTGATGTGCATTTTGCAAGCAACTTCAAATATTGAAAAGCCACTGGTTTGAAGAGAGTAGTGTGCAGATTACTAACTGATCCGTTTCTCCTGGTTCTCCTGAGACCCAGAAGCTTTGCATGTTTTAAGATTTGGCCATTATAATGGATAACCAGCAGTTTTTTTATTGAAGAACGAATGATCCATGTAGCACATTCGTTTTGCATTCATGTTTTTGTATTCTGCTATCTCTCGTCTCTGAGTAATCGTTCACCTGTAATAACCTTTTCGTGCCTAACTGCCCCGCCACCCAAAGGAGGCACGAAGGTCGGGATACTGCCAGGTTGATCAAGTCTAGTCAAGGAAAGTCGAGAAGCAGAGATCGGGTTCGAACCACGGTCCGTCTGATCAGTAAATTCGTGCTCTAACGGCTGAGACATCTCACTTGTGAGCATGATTTCATTTTGCGCAAATATGGGATCAATTTTTGGAATGTGCCAGGTAATGATACAAAAACACACCATGTTTTGTGAGCTAAACTAAGATTCATTGAAAAATCTTAGTATAACGAGAGGACACAAGCCAAACGATCGACACATTTTGCCCCCCCCCCAAACCGACTGAGACTACTGACACAAAAATCGATGGTTGACTTTGCCTGCCCTTATTATGCCGACCAATCGGAGGGCCTTACGGAGGAGGCATTGAAAATTTCTCAGAACTTTCATAAAGGAAACTACACAGAAGGTTGCTGATAACTCTTCGACAGCCCACGACCGGTTTCGCCCTTCCTGGGCTCATCAATTAGGCGCAGTCCCCGAGTTTCCGTCAACCTTATGTTCTAATTGAACCCAAATTGCAAATCAATCTGGTTTTCACGAGAGACTCAACTGAATCTTTCGTTTATATTCTACAACTGAATGTGCTGCACACAGGCTGTCAAAGAGCTTTCAGCAACCTNTTCAGTTGAGTCTCTCGTGAAAACCAAATTTCTTAGAACTTCTTTTACTAGGACCTATGTAACCTGTGGGTCCTTCTAGGTGACACATTCAAGGAAAGCGCTATTCCCTAATGGAGATTCGATCTTCTAAGTAAAGACATTCCATGCTGAAAAGCCGAGAAGCACTGGATCTCTGTTTTATCTCTCTTCGAATTTATCGGCAGGGCGTAGCTCAAGAAACGAAAAGGAACCATTGGTCCACAAGACAAATGAAACCTCTGTCTGGGAATTTGTCGAATCGAAAAGCCAGTCAGCACGTGACCACGTGATGTGGGTCCAGTAATTGAACGATGAGTGCTGTTACGTCCTGTCTAATTAAGAGTTACTCACTCCGCTGAGCAGCCGCATATGACCGAAGGGTCAAGTGTTCGAAACTCCCTCGAGTCTTATAAGATACACAGTGCTGATAAGCCCAAATAATTATGAAGCGTCCGTACAGTAGTTCTTGGCTTTTCAGCAGAGACTGGTTTCACTAAACGGATGAAATCTCCCTTTATAATGCCCAAATTTCCTCATAGCACCAAAGATAGTCATGTTTGCAAAGACTTTGTCTGAAGATTTGGTAGTTTCCCAACTTTCTTGTTCCTTTTGCTAGCTGAACCCGATGCTGTAGATGAGAGGCCATCAGGAGCCCCTCAGTCTATCGTCGGTATGATTCTCTTGGCATAGGTATCATGGGAGTCGGAAGATACCTGAATGTATCGTGAGCCAGAATACGGTCCTGAGCGATCATTAGGACAAAATTTATACAAATCCCTTTAGTTAAATTCACTTTTCCGGAACCAACATTGTAACTCATCATAGTTTGTATTCTCACCGGAAACTTCAACGCCCAAAATGTCCTTTTTGTTGGGAGGACGAGATAATCACCTCATGCACTCTGACCGCTTTGAACTCAAAAACGTTTTCTTCAGATCGGATACTTCAAGTAGTGATCAACTGCATTGCATAAAAACAGTTATAAAGTGGCAAGATACCTTCGCTTCTCATCGGTGGAATAGCATGTGTGACTGCGAAACTAAATCGGACTTTTCTGTCGTTCTGAATTTCAGACACCCTTCAAACTGTGCTCAAAATCTACACAGCTGACTTCACCAAACCATCCGAATTTCGGTAGAAACTGATGAGTAGTTGACAGTCACAATGAGTGAATATTGTCTGTGGACGTGCGAACCCGAAGATGAGACGCTGTGCGGAATTCAGTAAACACTTTTTATTTCAAATACATTTCTTGAATTGATACTTAAGCGGAAGATTGCTGCTCCGTAGACAGGTATCGAGGACACCATGGAAAGTTTGCACGTCGCCCGAAGGCAATAGTCCTGTTTCTTAACTACTCACATACATGAAAGTAGTATTTTGTAATTCAGCATGCGTTTTGCGCGAACGTATGGTCGGAGAAAGATAGGCGAATGGCAAGTAGTTGTGTGAATGAGTCGTGCATATAGGAGAGTTATTCGCACAAGTGGAGAATGGGGGAGGGGTTATTTGTTGTTTTTTTCACTTAGTGCCGGTTAGGCTCCTTGGGAATGGCCTCAAAGCTACTGTAACAGTCAGCTCTTGCGGGTGAGATGGACAACAAAGTAGTCATTGATGATAGGCATAATGCTTTCACTCTTGATCTTGATTCTTTCACTTTTTCGAGGACAGCGACTGGCTATGAGGCTTTCACGTTGCAACACTTTTTTCGGGAGGTTTCTTAGCGTATGGAATTTCACCAAAAGAAGAATATTTCCTTCTGGAGACGTTCTGATGCTTCAGAGAGGAATTCACGGGGTTCTGTTACAAACCGACAGAACTAGGAGTGGATGATGTGGATTCGGAAAACGAGACGTCGTTTCGAGATTCGGCTGATAATCGGAAATTCTCACTGCACAGGCGAAACCATCGAATCGCATTGATTCGTATCAAACACGCACGAAAAACGAAAGAAACTACTCGATCAAGGGCATGATGTATCCACGTGACGAGTATCAATAAGGACGAAACGCGTATTTGCATATCATTCAGAACTACGTAAGTACGGTCACTACTATTGGATACTGACATTCACATATCCGATTTAATGCAAGGTTAAGCGAAACTTAACTAATATACAGTTGGAATTCGTTTTACCGGTCGTACAGGTGAAATTCTATAATTTCGCTCGCTTTTTCGCACTGATGTGTGACAAGCGTAAAACCTTGGCGAGCCGTGAGATTCTGTAACAACAGGATATGGGAAATGAGGTTGTAAGTGTAAGTACGAAGTCTCGCATGGATGATTCGGCCTAAAAAGGATAAAGGACGAATTTTTCACTGAGCACTGATTTATATTTGGTGAGCTCCGGCGGACTGACTCGGCCTCTGGTCAGTGGTGATTTTGATTTGATTTAACTACTTGTATGCAATGAGTAGCATAAAATAAATCCAGTAGACATTTTGTGCCAAGCAGAAGTGGCACCCCTCCTGTCGAAGTCGGGGTTGAGAGTTATTACCCGACCCAGAAAAATACTGTGTAGGAAGAGAACACAAAAAAGGTGTTTGTTAATCTTTGACCTGAATACCGAGTAGTATGCGGATCCGGAGAGAACCCGATGATCATCCAAGTGGCCGCTGGTCATATGACCGTACTTGACAACGGGCTTATGGACAGATTAAATAAACGCCCACAAACTCCCGAAGTTCCCACGCTCTGTCAACCATAAATTAGTAGTCCCCTAGCGAAGCAAACATATCTAAATTTGTCAGGTAACCAACTACTGTCGAAGATACAAAACTGATAATTACCGAATGATGGGCTTGGAGCTTTCGGGTGATGATTTCAAAGCAGAACAGGTCGGTCGTGGGATGATAACAAGTCACGCGTTCACTAACACATGACGAGTAGCTAAACAGACTTGGGGGAGGGAGCAAACTATGGAAATTCATTGTGTCTGTTTGCCGAACTGTCTTTTGTTCATTCGGCATCGGATGATCAACGAAGTTGCCCTCAAATCACAGATTGGGCGTCTATCTTTCGCTTAACAGACAGGTCGAGCATAGTTTTTAGCAAAGGAGGATTTTATCACTTAGCTGATGGAAAGTGCGCACTCTGTGACCTCTTCTTGTTCGGACGATGCTCGTTTGGGTGGGCGAATAGGTGAAATGTGTAGGGACTCGGTGGACCGCATTAATCGGCAATACGCGCATCCTTTTGTCAAAGACGTTTATTTCATTTGATCCAATGATAATATCAGCCAGTTACTAAGCAATACAACGGGTTGGTATCCACTGTACCACTCGTTAAAATGCGTATTGGCAGACTTTGCAGCGGGCCAATACTGTCCAAATGACAGCTCCCACCTCCCAAAACTACAAGGACTCTAGGAGATCTGGCCCTGGTTCCAGTTCCCGTTTTGCATCACGGTGGGGCACTGCAATACACAGTGTCGTATTTTATTGCATCTTAGTGCACTATACTGTGATCATATCATAACAAACTACATTTATTGTATTACACTTCGTGCTTTGAACCAGCACGATATTTTATTACGCTGTTTTGCAGTACTGTATTGTGTTGTGCTGTACTGCATCGTATTGAATAGTATAGTATAGCACAGTATACATACATAGTACAGTATAGTGGTGTATAGTATAGTATAGTATGGTGGTATAGTATAGTACAGTATAGTATAGTACCGTATAGTACAGTATAGCAGTGCACTGTATGGTATGGCATTCCACTGTACTGTATTGCTCGGATCACTCATCCCAGTTACCACACATGGCCAGCTTGAGATTAGCTCATCTGAGAAAGCCAAGGTCCACAACGCGGTAATGCGAAACCTGACCGCTCGAGACGAAAGAACGCACACGTTTTGACATCAGAGATTTCGAAGCAGGTCAGTTGCGTGTCCAACCAATGACTTGATTCGGCGCAAGAGCCTACCTGATCAGGTCATGTGCTTCGATCTACCGAGTAGACTGGGTTATTCGTGCTGCCCCGCTCACTGAGAGATACAGCAAACAGGTGCAACGCAGTAATTGCAGAAGGTACGTGAAACCCATAACAGTTAGTTCTATCTGAGCTGACGTAAGTCAACGGAAGGATTCGGGCCGGAGGGATTCCGCAACACTAGTTGTTGCGTCTAACCTGTTATTCTTTATCAAAAAGCCGCCACCATTTTATATTCCGTACCTGCGGTCCACAATCATCGAAGACTAAAGGTTGCCACACATTGCAACAGTCTCGGTTGACAAACAGAGGTGAA